GGTCTTAAGTATCCAGTCAACAGCTCAGTGGTGTTTTTACGTTTTGATTATTGTCAGCAAAACACGACCTAACTGTTGACCGGGATATTCGACTGGAAATTCGTCTCTGACGCCGGCCTTCAATGTGCAGAGTTGGGTCCCTAGGCACGCTAGAAACCTTTGATTGTAGGATCGAATCCCTGTTTGAACACATCATGAGTCTAGGTTTGTCAGCGCCATACCTATGCTCATGAGTTTTATCAAAGTGGTAAACGGCTGAATCGCTTCGGCGTTTCCTCCCACATTAGGCTGACACGCCGTGATGTAACCGGAATAGTGTTCAAAGCCGTTAAACCCAACTCACTTAATGTTGTTACGGGTTTTAGATACGACACGTATGACAAGAAGACTAGTACTTATATAGAAAAGCGGTCTAAAAGTGGGCCTGCTGTTTGACCACGTAGTGCTAATATGAAATAACACTTGGAGATTATTAAACATGCAAATAACTTGTCGATATCAGCCAACCACATAGCAATCGTAGTTCATGTAATGGTTTATCTTACATGTATCACAAATAGTTAATTAGTAAAGGTTACATAAATCAAAGTAAGAAATCGGATCCTCCCATGAAAGAAATATATGCCAGGAGAACAATGTCAGCTGCAATGTATTTCGCCATATTGAATACAAAGCAATATACTTTCACTGGTGGATCCGGCCGATTGTTTAGTAAATGTTTAGTGTTTAGTCACACCTATCGAAAACAGGGCATGGCTCTCAGTTGGTGTATAGCTGTGGTGAAACGGCTCATAGAGTAATTAAAAATCAGTAGGATTGACCCTAGAGCTTCCGGGTAGATGATGTAATACATCATGATTGCACAAGTGTGTGTATATCGACTGAGTACTTGTCGTTGTGGATGTCTACTTGGGCTGTTCATGTAGCAGCAGTCAACAAATAACTTCCTGGTAGAATAGGATAGGATAGAATAGAAAGTTGAAAAGTTGAATAGAAAGCAATACAGATTCACTGGTGGTTACGGGCGATTGTTTAGTCAATATGTTACACCTTTCCTAAACAGGGCGTGGTCCTCAGTGCGTGCATAGCTGTGGAGCACCGTGAATAGGTCTTTTATTCTGTTAAATTCAATTGGACTATGCCGTGGGTCGAGTAGGTGTCAGCTTATTCACACTCCTAACAGACGCCTATGCTTGTCGTAAAAGGCGACTAACGGGAACAGGTGGTCAGGTTCGTCAAACAACAAACAAGCAAAAAAAAGAGCTTCCAGGTAGATAACAGTAATACGTCCGACACCTCGATGGGAAGTGTGTATCTATCGAGCTGTCAGTGTGCTGTGTAGTTCCTATTCTTCGAATGACATTGTTATATTCTGGTTACAACTGCTGCCCAATAAACCGTGTTTGTGTTTATATTCAAGTTGGTATTTCCGCTATCCAAAGTGTGCAGTCTTATTGTTGATAGTCATTTGGAGACATAAATGCGACGTTTCATCAATTCGAACGAAGACTACACGCATTTTTTGCATTTATTTCACGGTCGCGTTAATTTCAAGATTTACGGTACTCGTTGTTATGCAGTCATGCTGCTGTCAACAAAAAATCTTCCTCCACAGGTCTAGGGACCTCTACAGTGACTCTTTAAACCTCCATATTAGGAGATCCCAAACTCATTGGTTAACTCGGTGTTAATACTGACACCACTGATGTGTGATGAAACATATCTGGTGGGAATACTTACAACACGTATGTGTGATTAACAAAATAAAGTGAAAATACTGACACCACTGATGTGTGATAGGGCATATCTGATATGAATACTTACAACACGTATGTGTGATTAACAAAATAAAGTGAAAATACTGACACCACTGATGTGTGATAGAGCATATCTGATATGAATACTTACAACACGTATGTGTGATTAACAATATATAGTGGTAATGATTACACCATTGGTGTGGGATTAACAATATATAGTGGTAATACTGACACAACTGATGTGGGATTAACAATCTATAGTTGTAATACTGACACCGTTGATGTGTGATAAACAATATATAGTGGTAATACTGGCACCATTGATGTGTGATTAAAAATATATGGTGGTAATACTGACACAACTGATGTTGGATTAACAATATATAGAGGTAATACTGACACCATTGATGCGTGATTAACAATATATAGTGGTAATACTGACACAACTGATGTGGGATTAACAATATATAGTGGTAATACTGACACCATTGGTTAGTGATTTACAATATATAGTGGTAATACTGACACCATTGATATATGATTTACAATATATAGTGGCAATACTGACACCATTGATGTGTGATTAACAATATATAGTGGTAATACTGACCCCATTGTTGTGTGATTTACAATATATAGAGGTAATACTGACACCATTGATATGTGATTTACAATATATAGTGGTAATACTGACACCATTGATGTGTGATTTACAATATATAGTGGTAATACTGACACCATTGATGTGTGATTAACAATATATAGTGGTAATACTGACACCAGTGATATGTGATTTACAATATATAGTGGTAATACTGACACCATTGATGTGTGATTAACAATATATAGTGGTAATACTGACACCATTGATGTGTGATTAATAATATATAATGGTGATACTGACACCATTGATGTGTGATTAACAATATATAGTGGTAATACTGACACAACTGATGTGTGATTAACAATATATAGTGGTAATACTGACACCATTGATGTGTGATTTACAATATATAGTGGTAATACTGACACCATTGATGTGTGATCAACAATATATAGTGGTAATACTGACACCATTGATGTGTGATTAACAATCTATAGTGGTAATACTGACACCATTGATGTGTGATTACCAATATATAGTGGTAATGCTGACACCATTGATGTGTGATTAACAATATATAGTGGTAATGCTGACACCATTGATGTGTGATTAACAATATATAGTGGTAATACTGACACAACTGATGTGGGATTAACAATATATAGTGGTAATACTGACACCATTGGTTAGTGATTTACAATATATAGTGGTAATACTGACACCATTGATATATGATTTACAATATATAGTGGCAATACTGACACCATTGATGTGTGATTAACAATATATAGTGGTAATACTGACCCCATTGATATGTGATTTACAATATATAGTGGTAATACTGACACCATTGATATGTGATTTACAATATATAGTGGTAATACTGACACCATTGATGTGTGATTTACAATATATAGTGGTAATACTGACACCATTGATGTGTGATTAACAATATATAGTGGTAATACTGACACCAGTGATGTGTGATTTACAATATATAGTGGTAATACTGACACCATTGATGTGTGATTAACAATATATAGTGGTAATACTGACACCATTGATGTGTGATTAATAATATATAATGGTGATACTGACACCATTGATGTGTGATTAACAATATATAGTGGTAATACTGACACAACTGATGTGTGATTAACAATATATAGTGGTAATACTGACACCATTGATGTGTGATTTACAATATATAGTGGTAATACTGACACCATTGATGTGTGATGAACAATATATAGTGGTAATACTGACACCATTGATGTGTGATTAACAATCTATAGTGGTAATACTGACACCATTGATGTGTGATTACCAATATATAGTGGTAATGCTGACACCATTGATGTGTGATTAACAATATATAGTGGTAATGCTGACACCATTGATGTGTGATTAACAATATATAGTGGTAATACTGACACAACTGATGTGGGATTAACAATCTATAGTGGTAATACTGACACCATTGATGTGTGATTACCAATATATAGTGGTAATACTGACACCATTGATGTGTGATTAACAACATATAGTGGTAATACTGACACAACTGATGTGGGATTAACAATATATAGTGGTAATACTGGCACCATTGATGTGCGATTAACAATATATAGTGGTAATACTGACACCATTGATGTGTGATTAACAATATATAGTGGTAATACTGACACCATTGATATGTGATTTACAATATATAGTGGTAATACTGACACCATTGATGTGTGATTAACAATATATAGTGGTAATACTGACACCATTGATGTGTGATTAACAATATATAGTGGTAATACTGACACCATTGATGTGTGATTAACAATATATAGTGGTAATACTGACACCATTGATGTGTGATTAACAATATATAGTGGTAATACTGACACCATTGATGTGTGATTAACAATATATAGTGGTAATACTGACACCATTCATGTGGGATTAACAATATATAGTGGTAATACTGACACCATTGATGTGTGATTAACAATTTATAGTTGTATTGCTGACACCATTGATGTGTGATTAAGCATATCTGGTTGGGAATACTGGCACCATTGATGTGTGATTAAACATATCTGGCGGGAATACTGACACCATTGATGTGTAATTAAATATATTAGGTGGGAACACTGACATTATTGATGTGTGATTAAACACATATAGTGGTAATACTGACACAACTGATGTGGGATTAACAATATATAGCGGTAATATTGACACCATTGATGTGTGATTAAGCATATCTGGTTGGGAATACTGACACCATTGATGTGGAATGAACAATATATAGTGGTAATACTGACACAACTGATGTGGGATTAACAATATATAGTGGTAATACTGACACCATTGATGTGTGATTAAACATATCTGGTGGGACAACTGGCACCATTGATGTGTGATTAAACATATATGGATAAGGATATGTCCCCAGCAACAACGCAGGGGTAGAAGAGATTAGGTGAATTGTTTGATAGCTTGTAGTCATACCCAAAATCGTGAATCGTGGCTAATGATACATCTCATTGGATTGTCTGGTCCAGACTCGATTATTAATACCACGAAAGATGAATGTAAGCATAATACTAAGTTTGTTCTTATATTAAAAAAATATAACATACCACTGACAAGGAGCGCAGCCAGACACACCAATAGAGGACATATCCCCTTCGCCATGTTGGCTGTGATATGACCGTGGCCAAGTTTAAATCAGGTTTTCATATGGTGAATCAGTGCAGGACTTATCTGTATGTGGGGAGTTGTATTCAGCAAATGAATACATTTAGGTTCGTTCAGAAAGATAACACACCATCCAGTCCTTTGTCATGGAACTTCCAGGTAGGCTGTATGGAAACACTAACAGTAACACCACCAACTGCGGTGTTTAATGTATGAGCGGTGACAGACGCATATAGGTAGAGTTTACTGAGGGTTTATGTGGTGCACTTAACAAACATTGCTTGCACTCTATGCTGAACCATGATAGAACACATTGTGTATGTTCATTCACGTGTTGTCCTCTCTGCACCTACAGTAAGTAAGTACTGTACTGTACAACAAAATGTTGTGCATTCTTTTTTTTGGCAACCCTTCTAGATGGTGGGTGTTGCCAGGTGACACCGGCGCGGGGCTTAGCGGGGCGGGGCGGGGCGGGGCGGGGCTTAGCGGCGCGGCGCGGGGGTTAGCGGGGCAGGGCGGCGCGGGGCTTAGCGGGGCGGGGCTTAGCGGGGCTTAGCGGGGCTTAGCGTAGCGGGGCGGGGCGGGGCGAGGCGTACTTACCCTTTTTCGCGGGCGCCTGGGGTCGTCATTGATCTCCAGTGATTCATGAATGCTACATCTCACATCACCTTGGACTATAGACTGCTGACTTTAGGAGCATCCTGGCAACAAAATACGCAGCTCTCTCCAAGATCAATTGTAAGAAATGATACCGCGCCGATTCGTACAGAAAGTATTTTCCTCCAACATTGAGCTGACACGTCGCGATATAACTGGAATACTGTTAAAAGCGGCGTTAAACCGAACTCACTCCCTCACTACTGATTTCAAATTGTGTAGCATTCATATTTTGTATATTTTCAAAAGCATGTTAAATATTGGGGCATCATTCGTGTGGAAAAGTACATAAAAACTGAATATAATACATATGAGTGTATTGATTAATGAAAAGTGAAAATTCCCCGTTTTTTGTACGTCTCCAGGAAATTACATTTTCTGAAAATATTTCCGCTGTCACTGAATCGCAAGATTCTTCTGGAACTGGTAAACGTGGTGTTTATTTGAAGATTTGAAACAAGAGACAGCTCCCTGAAGAGTGTAAGCTGCTGGAGGCTTTACAGTCTCATTTACATCTTATTCTACCGGGTACCCATTCACTACCGGGCGAACAGAGGCATATTTCGAACAATGTCTAAGTAGACATCACATGTAACACGTGTTTCAGTGTGTGTGTGTGGGGGGGGGGGGGGGGGGGGGGGGGGGAGGAGCTGAAGACCAAGAAACGCCCAGGACTCAAGCTGCCGAACACTTCCACTCACCCACGTATTCTCAGCGACCAACGTGGCTTAACTTGCCTGATGTGTTGCATGCGCTCTGTAAACATGGCCACTTGCCACTACATTCAATGTCTGTGGGCACCACCACTGATGAAAACCTCACTGTCTCAAAGGAAAGGCACTTTTCCCACCGTGTGTAAAATTCTACAAGCCTACGTACAGCCTACTGCTGGGCTTCAGGGGAGACTAAAATGGATCTGGTTGGTCAGTGATTTATTTTATTTCGTGTAAACCTAACTGCATTGGAAGATGCTTATACCGATATGGCGTTTCGCTACACACCAATCGATGAAGCGTTTATAAAATATACCATTTAAACCCAGATTAGTACCATTTGAAAAATCCCTGTCTTATCACACCTAACTCGTCCTGAAACATTCCAAGCTCCAGAAATGAACTCTACTTTCGTGTAAGGCCGGCATGTTCCGTGGAAACAATCTCGGAATTGCAAAGGGTTACAGTTCGGCTCTTGACTGGCGACATCAGAACTGAACAGGTCATGAATTACGAGTAACACATACGAGCGTACGTTAGTCTGACTTACCAACTTGGAAACAATAAAAAAATATTAATTAAAATCCTGAATAACCAAAGGCATTTGGAACACTTTGCTGTAGCGGATTTAAAATTTCATGTTATATTCACCATGAAAAAACCTGCACTTTTTGTAAAAAACAAAAATATTTGCGTGGATTGATGACGGAAATCACAGGATTGTCAGGCACAGGCGTGTTTTCTTTACAGACTGGCTTCATAATGCTGGAATATTCCTAAGTGCGGCGGTAAACAACAAACAAACAAAACAATTGAAAGTATCCATTATGCCTTCAATAGTCACTGAAGCGTCCGTAAGTTGTCTTGCAATAACGATAGAGTTGATGCTTTATTTCGTCAGAGGTTTTTATTACCGTGAGATGAGGTGAAATGGGGTTTAACGTCGCGTCGAAGATTATTACACTTATATTGCGACGTACATGTGTGTGTGAGTGTGTGTCTGTGTGTGTCTGTGTGTGTTAGTGTCTCTGTGTGTGTGTCTGTGTGTGTCTGTGTGACTGTGTGTGTGTGTGTGTGTGTGCTTGTACTAATCTGGACTGATACTGATTTACACTGCTAGCACACTGAGATATCATGCTGCAGTTTAACATGAATACCCCACTCAGACACATTATACTGATTCCGAGCCGTCCAGTCCTTGTTTAAGCCCCTTTTATGCCGAGTGCCAGACAAGGTAACAACAAGTACCATCTTTTAAGGTCTTTTGGTATGACGCGGGAATCGAAACCCGGACCTCCCGGGCGAGCAGAACCTCTACCGCAAGACCACGGTCGCTTTTACTTGCATTGCTATGTCAAATCCTTTTGTAATGGACTATTATCGTCGGTGATCAACAAACCTTCACATTACAGGCCAGTTACATTATTAGAAGTGCCTGGCATGATTAGAAGAAGTGGACCGCCTCCGTGGTCTAGTGGTAGAGCGTCCGCCCGGAGAGCGGAAGGTCCGGGGTTCGATCCCCGGCCGCGTCAGACTAAAAGACGTTAAAAGATGGTACTTGTTGTTACCCTGTCTAGCGCTCGGCATTAAGGGGCTAAAACAAGGACTGGTCGGCTCGGAGTCAGTATACTGGGAGTCAGTGAGTGGGATATTCATGTTAAACTGCGGCATGGTATCTCAGTGTGCTAGCACTATAAATCGGCATCAGTCCGGACTAGTACAAGCAGCCACACAAACACGTACGTGCACGTCGCTATATAAGTACAATTATCTTGGACGCGACGTTAAACCCTATTTCACCTCACCTCACCTAGAAGAAGTGTCTGGAAAGGTTACTATTTGATGGGGAATCATAAAGACATGCTCATGATATGGTCAGAATCGTACAATCGACTAGGCTTTATGCAGATATTTATATTGGATATAGAAAAGGCTTTGACGCATTGTTTACAAAGTAATTAACAATGATTAATATGTGTGCTCATAGAAAACACTTGAATAAAGAGGAGCAAGAAGGATTTAGATCTGAATTTTAAAGTACAGATTTGTATGCTCCGATTAGATTACGTCATCTTTTGTTGTTTTGAGGTTATTGGTATTGACCTGAAATGAACTCAATGCTCAATGACAGTAAAAGTCCAAGTCACCATTTATGTTTCTTTTTCAATCTTTATGACATCATGTATTATATACTTCATAACAACCTGCACCTCTACAGACACAGGTATTATATACTTCATAACAACATCTACCCCTACAGACACAGGTATCATATACTTCATAACAACCTGTACCACTACAGACACATGTATAATATACTTCATAACAACAAGTGCCAATACAGACACAGGTATAATATACTTCAGAACAACCTGTACCCCTACAGACACAGGTATCATATACTTCATAACAACATGTGCCCAAACAGACTCAGGTATTATATAATTCATAACAACCTGTACCCCTACAGACAAAGATAATATATACTTCATAACAATCTGCACCACTAAAGACACAGGTATTATATATTTTATAACAACATGTGCCCCTACAGACACAAGTATTATATACTTCATAACAACATGTGCCCCTACAGACACAGGTATTATATACTTCATAAGAACATGTGCCCCTACAGACACAGGTATTATATACATCATAACAACATGTACCCTTACAGACACAGGTATTATATACTTCATAACAACATCTACCCCTACAGACACAGGTATTATATACTTCATAACAACATGTGCTCCAACAGACACAGGTATTATATACTTCATAACAACATGTACCCCTACAGACACAGGTATTATATACTATATAACAATATGTGCCCCTACAGACACAGGTATTATATACATCATAACAATATGTGCCCCTACAGACACAGGTATCATATACTTCATAATAACCTGTACCACTACAGACACAGGTATTATATACTTCATAATAACCTGTACCACTACAGACACAGGTAATAAACTGACGGGCAAAAGAAACTATACCAACATTGATTAATCAAACATACCACACAAAATTATGTGGCGAGTTTGAAAGATAATTTATCTGACAACGTTCTGATTCAAATCCACAAAGGTGGCATTTACAGGAACTAACAGGTAAGGAATGACAGAGGGGGTAAATGTCAATTTGAAAAATAAACAAATCATCTGAACGAAAACAGAAAACGCATTTTTTTTACAAATGCATTACTGTCAGTATCTTGTATGGCTTCCATTTCTCTGAATACAAGCTTGCACACGTCGCCGGGCGGAGTTTACAAGATCAATGATGACGTCATTGAGGATGGCTCGCCATTCTTCCAACAGTGCATGAATGAACGTGTGACGACTTGATGGAGGGGGATTTCTTTCCCCTATTTGTCTGTCCAGATAGTCCCACAAGTGCTCAATGGGTGTTACGTCAGGCGATCTTACTAGCCATTGCAAAAGGTTTACATCATTTGCAGTTAGGAAGTCTCTGGTGATCCTAGCGGTGTGGGGCCGAGCGTTGTCCTGATGGAAGATTACTCTGGGATTCCTCTAGAGGAAGGGAAGCACCACAGGACGCAATACATAGTCGATGTAGACTTGAGCATTTAAATTACGGTCAAAGACAACCAGGTCTGTTGTACGGTCCCTGCAAATCCCACCCCAGACCATGACGCTTCCACCGCCGAATGGCACGGTCTCCTGAACACAACATTGGGCTGTCCTCTCTCCTCTCCGACGATACACACGCACACGGCCATCAGCTCGATACAACTGGAACCTGCTCTCATCAGAGAATAGAATTCGTTGCCAGTTCCTGTTTTGCCACCGCTGTT